ACGGTAAAGTGTTTAGTTAGTCAAAAGTTTGGGTTGTGAATAAATTGTGAAACGGAAAGTTGTGATAAATATGCATAAATTGGATTATCATAAATATGCATAAATTGGATTAATTTTGATGATGAATCTAAAAGTGAATTTGGTTCGACTCAAATTCGGTAGGGTGCAATTAGATTGGGACCTTTTTTGAAGAATGGTGAAATCTTCAAAGTGGATTCAAGTATGGTCCGGTTGAATAGGACTTAATTGTAATAATCCAAAAGGTATCTCAACAATCCATGACTATTTTTGAGAGAGAGAGGAGGTCAAAGAGTTCTTGCCTTTCCAGCAAAATGGCCATCGAATCCATGATTTTTTATGGATAAATAAATGCTAGATTTGTGACTATCGTGGGAAAATACTCGTTTGAGATGAGATCAACTCTTCCACGAGATTCATCACTTGCAAATTACGCTGCACAACTGACGTTTTCATATTCTTCATAGAAAGTATACTTGTATGCCATAAATAAAAATAAATATGTGACGGGCCATTTTCGTATTCATATGAGAATTTTAACATATATGCAATAATGAATATCTAACAGGTAATATGGATATTCAAGTTAACCTTAATTATGGCATCAAGGCCCAGAAAATGTACAAGGATTTGAAACTCCAAATTCAATTCTTAATGGCCTTATAAACGACCAAAAAGTGCTTATCAGTGGTTTCCACGCGTTGGGGTAGGCAGTGTCTGAACAGCAGCCAGAGGGTTCACTTGATACGAAAACGCGAGTTGCCACAAGTCCGTCAAAGCCTTCTTTACGGACCCGACTTTCTCAACAAAAAACCTGAAAAATGAAAGGAAGGATTAATGGGAGTACTGAATACTAGTCATGCCGATTCTTCTACTGTCCACTTTCAAATCATTCACTCGTATTTTATGTATCGTGCAAAGAGTCGTCTATCATCCACCTCAAAATAACAGGTTCAAGGCCATGGTAACTCGAACTTCGTGACATCATCATTGTTTTCACAAAGTAAATCAAGCTTTCGTGAGAACATCGTGAAGTTTACCAAAGGATAACTTGAAATAAACCCAAATTCCCATTCTTGCCCATGAAACTTCTTTTAAATGGAAGGCTTAAAATAAGCAACGCTCTTACCTCTTCAAGGCAGCCTGTTTTTTCCTTGTGAAATAGTACATAAGCAACAGAAGAGAAGTCATCAGCAACTTCCCATTCGATACAACTAATTCTGTGTTGCCTACTTTTAACCGGATGCTACGAGACCACCAAAAGCGTGGAGCTCTTTGTCGAGAAAGCTTCTGAATTTCATCTTTTGCTGTAATATTCGTCCTGGAGGAAAGGTATTTAGATTCAATATTTTGCTGTTGTTGTTCATTATACTGTTCTTGGTCTTCAGAGAATAACTGATCCGAAAGCTGAGTTGATATAGACTTTTGGGATGAACTGGTGACCGAAGAATTTATGGACTCTAATTGCCTTAAAAGCTCCTGTGAAACAAAGAAAATTACATCATCAAATGCTTTAATTAGGCAAGTTGTTTGCAAGAAATATAACACCATGTGAAATATCTGCATATCATGAAAAAGAAAAAAGAACCAAGGGAAACGAATTTTTATTGAGACAGAAGTCGAGCGAACCAAATCCCTCGGGTACCTTCAGTTTATGTGATAAGTTTTCAAAAGTGTTTGTTCTGCATTCGGGAAACTGTTATTATTAAACCGAAACACCCAAGAACCAAACAATATTGTATTCTCGCTCACCTTTGCCTTTTCCCATTATCCTTAGCTTCTCCATTATGGAGATAATAGGCTTAAAACTTAAATCTATACTAGTTTGTTCTGTAGTCTGTACTATGCACCTTCCAGTCTTTAAAGCCAAAATAATAACGAGCTCGCAAAAGATTAGGAAAGGTAATACATGTGGAATCGATAAACATATAGGTGCAACGATTGCAAGGAAAACTAGTGTGCACACAAGAATCACCTTAGAAGAAGTAAAATCAAATCAGATCAGATCTTAGATATGGTATTAGCTTACCTGACGCTTCTCAATAGGCAACATGGCTTTCTCCACCCAAGATATAGCAAGATCCATGTCATTTAAAGTTTTAGCAAGAAGTGTTATAACATAGAGCTCAACAACTTCGAAATACTCATGAACTCCAATGTGAAACATAAGGGAAGATCTTTCAGTGTCGGATGCACTACCCACAGAAACCGAGCGAGGATAATAACGGTCACCCACATACAACCAATTGTCTAGAAATTCTTCAAGAAAGCCTTGAGCTGTAGTCGAAAGGCTCTCTGACATTTGCAAACACACCCTGAAAGACAAACAGAACAGTTAAAATATTCTGGTTGTGACATTATCAAAACATTTTGTTCCCACAACACGGAAAATACAAATATAATCTGGGCTTTCCCAATCATATATCCATAAATTTCTTTTATTGCAAGAGTTAGTGATGACTAGAACACTTTATAGGACACCACAACTCGACTTTCAAATGTCCAAAATGTGGTCTTCTGGAGTCCCACTTGCCTTCTTTTATATACACTAGCCTAGGACCTAGGTGAATCAATTGTGACCGATTCCTCAAACGTCACTGTAAAACCATCTTCACTCATATCAAGGACTTCATAGGACCATGAAATCCTCCATTCTATTTTTAAGGTTCAAGGTATTCTTAGTTTCACAGTTTGACATGGAAAAATAGAAGAATGAAAATGTCGAATCACTGAATATGTTTTTTTATGTAAAGTATATGCTTCAGTTAAATTAACAGGACCATCAGCTGATCTGATGTATTCCATTACTCTTTGGACTTTCTTGAATTATTTACTTGACTGACTATTGGCCAACCCAGTTTCGAGCCAATATCAGGCTCATTTTAATGATAAACCTTTGTGTCTGCTCTTTACAATTAAAAATCATGGGAATTAAGCTTTTCCTCGTTCGCTTAACCACCGCCAGGAGTTCCTCATAATTGATCACACCCAAGCATTTCCACAAACTACAGTTGAAGTCCCACAATTGAGCAATAGGCCCAGTTTTGAAATTATCAGAATTAGAAAAAGCTTAATCGAATCCAACACACCACGATAAAACGAAGAATCTAACTCAACAGATAACGAAGAGATAAGAGATACCCGGTGACGATAACTCGAACAGGTATGGCATTTACTGAGCCAAACACCAATTTGAGCTCCTCCCACATTTCTGAGGTCCTGCAAATCAAAAAAACACAAGCACACACACAGTGGCACGATATTCAATAAGATGACTGCTAATCCAAAAAAAAATATGAACAAAAAGAAAAAAAAAAAAATCAAACAACCATTTCAGTTATACCTTCGCGATTGTTTCAAGGATTGCACAAAAATCATCCCAGCTGATTCCGACGGATCATCCCAATCGTTTTCAAAATCCTCCGAACCCTCGCAGCCCTTGCTGCTGTTCAAAGTTCGAAGCAATCGCTTGATAACAGAGGACGCTAGAGCCGCCGCCTCATCGAACATACAGCAAACGAGATAACTGCAAAGGCTCGCCATAAACAACGTCAAAATTCACAAAGGAAAAAGGACATTGAAACGATAGAGTCCAACCAAAATGCAAAAGCATAAAAAAAAAAAAAAACCGGAGGTGAAAAGTTGAATACTTTTCGGCGCGGTCGATTTCTTCCCAGATTGGCGTCTGATCATGAGTTGTCGCCATTTCTATCTGTGTCTGTCGGACAGTGAGCTCGGAGCTGAAGAAATGGAAATAGTTTTAATAAATAAAAATTAAAAAATGCGAATAATTATTATTTTACATTATTTGCCATCGAATTTTGGCGTGAGCAAGAAAAAGTGCTCAATTTTCGCCGTTCATATATTAGTCCTAAATAAAAATAATGCAATTTAATTTTTTTTGGCAAAAATAAACTATTTATAAACTGTAAAAATTAATATATTTGCAATTGAAATGAATATTTCTTCAAATTAAAACACCAAATACTGGCCCAAATTAAACACACTTCAATGAGAAACCCAATCTTTTCTATTTCTACCATTCGCCCCAGCCCACTTATGTCCATGTTCGGACGTTTCTTGTATCTCCTCAACAGCTCTCTTCCTCTCCATAGCCACTGCAAATAATCACAGACTAGGTAATAATTCATGGTGAATTTTTTCATTCTTCAATTTGAATAATGTTTTCTACATCAACAATGGCGGCGAGGTTGAAGATGAAATCCTCTCGAGTATGAAAATACTTTTTGTATTATCTGTTTCCAACCTTTGTTTGATTTTCTCTGTGGTGGCAGACCTTTATTTTTTTGCTCTAATGGAGTTTTTGATATTCTCAGCTCGTTATAATAAGGGCTCCGAGTTAGCTTGACCTTTTCTTTAATCCTTTTTTATATGGTAGCTCAGGATAAAAGAGATTTAAGAGAGTGATAAAGTAAAAAGAGTTCTGCTCGTGGGTTCTTCACATTATATTTGTTTAAAAAAAAAAGGATCAAGGATCAACTGTGAGTGTGAGGTAGGCTACGGAACAATGTAAGATTGTTAATATACTCTGAGCGTATTTACAAATTTGCTTCTCGGTATTGTATAATCTTGCTGGTGTTGTCTCACTAACTGAAATACTGAATATTAGACTGTCAGTGAATGGAAAAAAAAAATATGTTAAGGATGAAATGGTTTATTTGTGTTTAGTTTATTTGTTGATTTGTGAAATTAATCATTCTAAGTAAAATGGGTGCCCATTGGACGTGCACATATTTCAGATGGAGATACTTTTAGAGTCTAGAGCTTTAAGAACTAGCATCTCCTCACATACAATTGTGTCCGATCTCATATATATTATACGGCGGAATTGTTTATGTAATTATATAGTTCATCTTAAAAATCAACATAGAGATAATTTTTTTGGAAAAAGTAAGGCTGTATATTGTAAGTATACACATAAGGTTGTCTATTGTCAGTTTTTACATCTTTTTTGGACATCTTGATTATTGATTTGTCTGAGCCTATCTAAGTGATCTGCTGGATATATTTCTTACCTAGTTTAGATGGCATGAAAAATGCTGAATGTCAAGAATTGTTTTCTTTAAATTCCATATTTGGTATTTTGTAATCGAAAATCTCAATTATAATGGTATGCCAAAACACAAAATGTTGATTTGGGGTATTGGCCTACACCAATATCGTTGTACGACTTGAACGTGAATAGTTTTATGTTATAATTCAGAGTTTGATAAATTCAGTGTGTGTTGAAGGTTTGGGGTTGGGGGTGGATATTTTTGGTAGACCGATTTAGTGATTCTGTGACTTGAATATATGATAACTTCCGTCTATTTTATTGGCCAGAAAGTTCTACTGGAATTTTGTGCAGGAAAAATGCTTATGCATGGAACACATGATATCCTCGATTCTCTTGAAGGACTAGTTCGTATGGGAAGGGTATGTGCATAATTCTCTATTTCTTGTCATGTTTTTATTCCTCCAGCTTTCTCATTCTCTCCCATAATCGAGAAGCCTGATAAATCCTATAACATGAGATAGTGGTGCTAATACTGTATATGTAGAATTCCGTTTAGTCTCACTATAATCATGTTCACTATCTTTCTCACGGGAAGAAGGGCTAATTCATTTTCAATGGCTCGACAGATCTTTAAATGTTATTGAAGATTTATCTCGGTCTATCTTTCATTAGGATGGATCCCTGCTTTTGTTGCTCAGATTTTCCGTTACCGACTTACCGTTATCTTCTGTCTGATAATATTTATCACCAATTAGTAATTCCTCAATCAAAGTTGAACACAGGATCAAATTGTTTTTCCTGAAGAAACAGTATTTGAAAAGGTACTTTTTTCCGTAAATTTGCTTTGAACCTAAAAATTTGCTTCTAATTTTGTATAGGTTAATCAATCTTCTGGAAGGGTATACATTCTGAAGTTCCATACAGATGGCAGAAAGTTCTTCTTTTTGATGCAGGTTAAGACATGAGTTGGGTTGTCTTTTTTGCACTATTTCCTAAAGAAATTATCCAAAACTGGTGTATTTTACTGCTTGAATTGTTTCTAGGAGCCCAAACCTAAAAATGACACAGAGCTATCTAACTCTTTCAATTCCACCTGAATCAATCTCTAGGTACAGTGATCCCCATCACTCACTTGTGTATGCTAAAGAAATTTGCTAAGTTTCTAGGGTCATTTTTCTTAATTTCTGTCTTGGTTTTCAATCTTTTGGCTTCATTGGTCCTTATAAAATTACCGGGACCTGCAGTAGTATAGGAATTTAATCTTGCATCGAGTTCAAATGACATGTCAGCCATTAGATCATTCAACTACTGCTATATAATGATTGTGTCTCTTTTCTAACAATATTCTGATTTCCTGGTTATGTAGGCTTGGGACTCGGTTATATTTTGAAGCCGGAACTTGTGCCACCTCTTGTTCAGGAGCTACTTTTACATCAACAATTAGCGTCCTATTTACCTGAGGTAATTAATGCCTATAAATGTCTGATGTTTTTCTCATTTATCCAATCCTTTCTATATGCTGCATTTCTCATTTTATTTCTTCTCTGCTACTTTTTAGGTGTTCCTTGGCTGTCTCCTTTATTCATTTTCTTTATTTTTTTAGGTCCTGTGTACTGGACAGGTAGATCTGGGTCAGTTTGGGATAGATCCAAGTAAATGTAAGTAATGCAAAAATCTTCCTCATCCACGGCTAGGATTAAACTGCTGTTTAGTGTTTACTGATTTGGGAATTTTACGAGTAGATTCTAATATTGTAAGTCTGTCTCTTGTATACGTAAACGAGCAGCACTGGGTCTAATTNCAAAAAAAAAAAAAAAAGAATATCTCTTATAATTACCAGTACTCGGATCACTTTATCAAGATTTCAGCATCTAGCTCGATTTGTAAATACTCAATATCAAACATCTTTAAATTGGCTTGCATAGTTGTATGTATTTGGAGCTTCATATACAGGGCAGTAAAACAATGGATGAAGGTTAATAGTGTTATGTTAATGTACATATTGATAAAGTATACTTGGTTATATTGACATTGACTACTTTCAGCTGAATCTTTGTACTATATAAAAATGGCAACCATATGAATGTAACCTTAACACGAGACGGCTTGGTAAACTAAACACTAGGTTATTTGTGGTCGCAAAATTAGCCATCAATGATGATGTGATGATTGATTGTTATTCGTTGTGGAAAATGATTTCTACATTTATGCTTTTTGATTGACTACAGAGTCAAGCTCTTGCCTATGTGGAAAATGACTGTATGTATATCATGATTGAATTTTTCTTTGATTTGATGTCATAGTTGTCGTCTACAAACCTTTGACTGAAAAAACGAAAATTCCAAGTATTTTCGATGAGTTTTTGGTGCTAGTAAATGCTCAATGAAAGAATTGTACCAAATTTTGGAGCTAGTAAATGCTACATTCAATGGCGGATCCGGAAAAAATCTCACGGGGCACATTAACATTGTCAAGTATTGAAATTATGATTTTTTTTTTGAAAAATAAAATAAATTACATGTTAGTGTGTGTGAGTTTGGCTTTTTATGATAATACTTTGTAATATATATCTTTTTTTAATATGTTTGTGAAAATAAAACAGTTCAGATTAATTAAGTAAAAGTTAAACAATATCCAAATTATTACAACCTGCTTAATAAAAACATGTATTTTGTCTTTCATCTAATCTTCTCTACAATATATACACATAAAAAGCTAAACCCACACACACGCTTAGTGGGGGGCACGTGCCTCCAGTGCTTCCACCTGGATCCGCCAGTGGCTACATTTAAACGCAAGATGATTAGAAATACACAAATTCTTGTGTGTGATGCGGTATCAAGATTCAGTTGATCCACCTGTCAAACTTTTCTAACAAAAATGTATAACTGAGCTATACCATTAGTTGTGAAATAGCATGCTTTTTGTTTATGTTGATTTCTAGAGTAATATTTCGGTTTTAAAGCATGTAAATATGTTGAAAAGTATGATTTTCTGACTAACTGTTATATCTGCCTAACAACAACTTTATTGTTAGAAATATGGTTGTCTAAGGTTGGCAGGAAATTTGTTGGCGTATCGGTTTTAATCGACTCGTTTACTAACACGGTTTAGATCGATTCGTAAAAGCTCGAGGTGTACTCATTTGTTTACTTGAATGAGTCGAATTCGAACAACTATTCGAGATTGTTCACGAACAACTCATTTGATTATAATTTTCAAATAAATAGTTAAGCCGAACCTATTGTCAGACACACAAGTCGTGTTTGCAAACTATTTGTTTATAGTTTTGGGTTAGTTAAACGTGTCGAACGGAGTTCTTATAAACTAAAACGAGCTGAGCCGAGCCGAACCCTAAGAACTAGCAACTTCACAATAATAAATGGGCTAATTTTTCTTTAAATATCAGGAAAAAAAATAATAATATTAAGACTTCCCCATGAATATGACTGAAAAAAGTTGAAACGTGTGGTGCAATGCCCAACAGCCCAAGGCCCCAAGCGCGTATTGGCCTCAGTCAACTGTTGGATTTACCAATGCAAACAAATATGTACAACAAAGACAATCAGCACCTTGTGCAGTGAATTTCAATATTGCCCTTCATATTTGGAGGTGTTTATCTTAATAAAACGATAACATATTAATAAGTATAAATATTAATAAAATAATATATAACATTCATAAGTCATTGAACATGTTGTCATATAAGTATTATTAATATGATTGTTGTAGTTTGGACTACATTACATTTATTGTAATAAATTATTTTTAGTAAAATATATATTTAGTTTCAATAATGATTTGGATTATAACTTGGTCACCCAGGATCAATCACAACTGTGTCACTTTTTAATTATTTAAAATTTCATCTAAAATTAATTCAATAAATATGGAAAATAACATAATTCAATCATCCGATTGATCCAAATAATTTTTCTTATTTTTCTCAGATACAATTAATTTTATAAATAAAAAAATATTTTATACTTCATATAGTAAATATTTATAACAAATGAAAATATATTAAGATTATAAATTATATATCAAAAGATAAATAAATTTTTTATTATTTTACTCATAGTTATAAAAATAAGAATATAATATTTCTTTAAAAAATTATAATTAATTAATTGATTCATGAGTTATTAAATATTAATTAACATCATTGTAGTATGTTATTCATCCCTCCAACATATAATTGCAGAACGTGTTGAGCCTAAATAGCATGCTCACACTTTTATAATCCTATTTGGTGTAATTATATGCTTTGGACTGACAAACTAATCAGGCTTAGTTGACAACTAGGCATTGGGATTACCAAAATATCTTGTAAAAGATGTTATTTCATTTTTTTACCAACTAATCTTATAATAATATCTTTCCTTTTTATTTCTTTCTAATTTATGGCGTTCTTTTGCTAATCTCAACGATTAAATTGCAAGATGTATTTCAACTCAAATCCTATATCACTCATTACAATATTTTGAACAAAATATTTGAAGAAGAAACTACTTTGCCTATGAAAAGAGAAATCTCAAAATATTTCATTGGGGCACAAAAGCTCTTTCATCTTTAAATATACAATATAGTATTTGCACAAAAATTTTATTGAGAAAATCAGATTTTTCAGTGAAAAAAAAGAAGAAAAACTTGAATAAGTAATCCAATCATTATAAAAAATTTAAGACACATATATTATATATTTTATATCACTTTCTTGCGTAGCTTTTGAAGACGATGTGAGATCAATGTTATTTGACAATATTATTGAGTACATTTGACTTTTCATTGCTTTGTAGATTTATAGAATTTCTTTTTTATTTTGCAAGGTCTTTAAAACTTATCATCTATTTTGTTATTGTTATTATTCAACATATGTAATATTAATATTTTATTATGATAATTTTACTTTGTTTTACATCTTGATAAAAAAAATCATGCTGTTGAAATCGCATTGTTCTATCTTCGTTGTCTTCGACAAACTGACTTGATGGATCAGTAAAGATTTTTTATTTCATAAAATATCATTCTTTGAATGTCTCTTCTTTTATTTATCAATTTATTGTTTTGTATTAATCATATTATGTTGTATTACATTGTAGTGTTAATTCGTTTCATAGTGTCAATCATATGTTGGAGATATTTTTCTCTTATAATAGATATTGGTTAATGATATCTAATATTAATACAATCTTGTGGTGCACACATATTTTGTACTTTCTTTTAGTTGGTTATATGTAAATTAGTTTCATTTGCTTAATGTTCTAAATACCGTACCAAAAATTATGTCGAATGAGACACCAGTATGCGGTTCAACCGGATTTACTGTCTATTTTATCGGTTGTAATAAATATTAATTTAATTTATTATTATAATATAAATAATGCATAAAACCTACTTTAATAATTACTAAAATTGATTAAAATCTAATAACAATGTAAATATATTAAAACTAAGTGTAGAACTTTGTAAAAAAATTAATAACAATATTAAAAGGAACAATTATTTTTTAAACAAAATCTAGTATATCATATATTTTGGAAAAAAAATGTATTTATAATGTTACCGTACTGGCTGGACCACCGATATCCGGAATTCCCGATAATACCAGTCGGTACAGTACAATATCTAAAATATTGTGTTTATCTATAAACATACATGTCAATTTGTTTATTTTGTTAACAAGAGTTTTTGTGTAATCTTTAGCATTAGCATGTTGATTATTACAAATTGTGCTATTAATTAAGTGTATTTAGGTAATTAGCATATATGATCTCTTATTTTTCTATAATTACTATGCATTTAAATTTTATACCAGCTTTCGTATAAGTATTCGATGAGTTTAAAGTGGCCACTTGAAATCAGTATTTTAAATATTAAGTTAGGCGACACTTGTGCTCCATGATTTTTTACCAAAGTGGCCCTTTTATGCATTAATTGTCATAATACCTACTATACAAAGTAAAATTTAGCATAATAGTACTAAATTAATTCCTTAAACTTTGAAAAAATTAATGCGATTAAAAAATATTATGTTCATGTATAACACTCTAGCGTCATTTTAAAACTAACACTACAATTTTAAAAGTACTAAGAAATAAAATATAATTAATATGTTTATCTTTTAAACACTTTTATGTAAATATTTTTTAATTCAACACCCATTTAGTACACGGGTGTTGTACTAGTAAGTTAATAAATACCATAAATGAATGATGTTATAACGAAGAAAGTGCTTTGTAATAAATTATATAACTTATCTTTTTCCTATCTTCTTCTTTTATTTTTCTAATCTCTTTTCTATTTGATTTATCTCAACTAAGGGTGCTTGAAAATTATAATTTGCTTGTTCTATTCTAATCGGTTGTTCTCCATTCATTATTCCATAATGTATTATGTTTTTTCTATTTAATTTTTCTAATATACTATTATTTATTCCTTCTTTCTTTTCTAAATCTAAATTTCCTTTATTTTTTACTTTTGTTACTACCTTCTTATCTAATAATATATCTGATAAATAAGTTCCTTGTTCTTCTATATTTTCTATAACATGATATTCGTTGTCCATTATTTATCTTTTACTATCTTATATTTAGAATTCTTAATCATATTTGAACACTTATACTAGATGCTTGGTATTCAACTTTCTTTATTAACTCTTTAATCCTGGTAATTGAAGAAGTAATATCATCGCATATTCGGAAATGAACTTCATTTTCTACTGAACGTTCCTTAGGTACATAATGTTTTACTAGGTTGAATATCATTTGTTCATTTTCTTTTAACATTTTTGTTAATGAAACAATTTGTTCTATTACTGATTTGAGACGATTTATATCCTTATATATTTCTCTATATGGCATATTATTATTATCCATGAGAAAATATAGAATGATAAGAATATACCTCTGATTTTCTCCTTGTTTCCAACACAACTGGGGTTTGATCTTTCTGGCATTCAACACCTTTGATCTCCAGCTCTTCAGTGCTCCAGGAAACTCTTTGAGAAAATGTTTAGTATATTGTTTCACTCTTCTTATTTAACTCACGCTTCCTAATTATTTAGCTACCCATTCTTTTTGAAACACACATATTTTATTTCATGAAATATTTTACAGACTCGAACTTTATACAAACTTGAATTGAGCACACCCTATGAATGGTATACTCGACTCCTTATATAGACGGAGTTGCTAAGGATAGATGGCTAAGATTAGCCGACAAGATCAATGGTCTACAACCATACCGCATTAAGGGATAAGGTTAGGCCATTGTTTTTGTCAAAAAGTGGTGGTCATCATGCAAGATGCCATTCTCCACTATAAAAGCTAAAAGGTGGTGGACATCGTGCAAGATGCCATTCTCCACTCT